ATTTCAAAAGACGCCAATTTCCGAATAGGGTCCAGAATAAACAAGAAAGACATTCCTGGCACTAAAATGACATTTCCTCTAGTCATTATTCACGTCTCAAGGCCCCTCTTATATTCTTTTGCTTTCCACTTTGAATTTTTATTTTCACAAAAAATATAAGATTTACTGTTATGCAGACTACTGCATTAGTGTAAAAAATGGTATAAATATTATTGGTGCACTTGTGAAAGAATATTAGACTCACCAGTTGACGTGTATTGCACGCTTGGCACGATTTGTTTACTTTTGAAGTTTGGTAAAAATCGAACATTTTTGCTACTTTGAGCTCAATTTCAAGGCACCTTTCTTTGTAAAACCAGTCAAAATCATCTCTACTTCTGTAATATGTCTTCCATTCTATAAAATGAGACCAAGAAAACTAGAATACAACAATAAATACCATACGAAAATACACTGCAAAGTCGCTGATTTATTAAAAAAAAATGGTCAAAGTTTTTTTTTTCTCATTATGCACTGTGTGCTGCAGGATTTTTTTTAGACTGTGCACACTGACCACATAGACCCATTCTTTCATATGAAGGCCTACCAGCTTTCTCCCACTAGATTTGAGGCCGCTAGAATTTATGAGTACTAGTACGTCAAAAACCCCTACGCGTAAGACGTACTAGTACGACTTAAACCCTCAAAGGGTTAATGCCACTAGGACCAGCTTGAGAGTCACTGTACACCTGTGACACTAAATACTTGTCTAGAGAGCTCTGTTTCTGGCGTCTCTTTAAAATTTCCCTAAAATGGGCCAAGACTTTGTCACTGTACAAGTTGCTGATATGGTTTGCAACAGCCTTGTCAGGGTGATGTTACTCCATAAATCTTTCCATCCTACCCCACATTTCAAAAATCTCTAATTTCTGAAGAAGGCAACTTCTTCCATCTCTCTTCCTCCTCCTCTTCACCAATATTCTGAGCTGCGGTCTGTTGCTGTTCGTGCTGAAGCTCTTGCAGCTTCTCAGTGGTTAGCTCTTCGTTGTGGTCCTCCACCAACTCTTCCATATTCTCCATACTCACATCCAACCCCATGGAACTCCCCAGTGCCGCAGTAGATTTCACAACTGTCATAGGCTCATCAGGGTCAGCCCCAAACCCTTCAAAATCCCTCTTGTGGACACAATCTGGCCACAATTTTCTCCAAGCAGAGTTCAAAGTCCTGGTAGTCACTCCTTCCCAAGCCTTACCTATAAGGCTTATGCAGTGGAGGATACTGAAGTGAGCTTTCCAAAACTCTTTTAGGGTCAAGCGAGTGTCTGAGGTCACATTAAAGCACCTTTGAAACATTGCTTTGGTGTAGATTTTATTAAAGTTTGAAATGACCTGCTGGTCCATGGGCTGGAGGAGAGGAGCGGTATTAGGGGGCAAGAACTTTACTGTGATGAACCCAAACTCCTCCAGAATTAGGTCATCCAAGTTTGGAGGATGAGCAGGTGCATTGTCCATTAGCAGGAGGCACTTGAGATCCAGTTTCTTTTCCAGGAGGTAATTCTTCACACTGAGGCCAAACACTTCACTGAACCACTCGACAAAAATTTCCCTCATGACCCATGCCTTATTTTTAGCTTTCCAATACACACACAATTTACTCTTCATCACATTGTTTTTCCTGAACACTGGGATTTTCAGAATAGTACACTAGTAATGGTTTCACTTTGAAATCTCCAATAGCATTAGCACAGAAGATGAGCATCAGCCTGTCTTTCATAGGCTTGTGTCCTGGCAGTCCCTTTTCCTCCTGAGTAATGTAGGTCCTCTTTTCTTCCAAAAGAGGCCTGTTTTGTCACAATTGAACACTTGCTCAGGTTTCAATCCTTCAGCTTCTGTGTACTCCTTGAATTCACTTACGAATTTTGTCGCTGCAATTTTGTCCGAACTGGCAGCCTTGCCATGCCTTATCACACTGTGTATGCCACTATGGTTCTTAAATATCTCAAACCAGCCTTTGCTGGCCTTAAATTCACAAATATCAATACTCGTTGCAGGCAATTTCTTTACAAGATCGTCATACAACTGCCTAGCCTTTTCACAAATAATCGACTGCATATTACTATCTCCTGCTAATTGTTTCTCGTTTATCCACACCAATAATAATTTCTCAGGTACCATCCGACTTATGACCGAGTTTGGTTCCGACAAACCAGTCGTAAGTCGAAATGGACGTAAGTTGAACCTTACTACTGAATATCAACATCACATTTTTTAAATGAGTTTTATTTTATTTTTTTATTTTGGTATTTCATTTTTTACTTTTTATACTGCTAGTACTGTATTTTATACTGAAAGGTTTAGGATAAACACTGTGTACAACACAAACAGTTGTTTATTTCTCAGAAATTTGGCATAGAAAACATGGTCATAAGTCGAGTGGTCGTATGTCGAGCAGGTCATAAGTCGGATGGTAGGTGTATTATGAAATATTTCGTATGAATAAGTGAGGGGACCCTCACTCACTGATAAACAATGGCACATGAGGCGGCTCGGAGCCATGTGTACGTGTCCCGGACGAACGATGATTCGCGAGCCAATGTTTTGACGAAAATAATGTTATGATTTTCGAAAATTACGACTATCGAGCCTTAACAATTATCGAGGGACCACTTTATATGTATTTTATCGCTCTGGGGAGCTTTAATTAACCCCTTGACTGTCACAATCTCCAATCCTGAAGTGTCTCCTGGTGTCACAAAATTTAAAGAAAAAAAAAACTTTTTCTTCTGAAATGATAGAGAATCTTTTCTCGATTGTAATGACACAAAAAAAAACAAAATTTGATGTAAAACTGACGGAATTATGCTCTCGCGGAATTAGCGACCTTGGCAATATTTACAGATCGGCGATTTCGCTCACTTTGAGCCCTATTTTCGGCTAATTCCATTGTTCCAGTCGACCAAAATCATAGCTATTTCTTTAGAACTCCGTTTTTTCTATCGATGAGTACAAGAAACTGCCCATTTACCGATTTCAAATACCCAATAACGTGGTCAGAAATTTGCAATTTGGCCAGTTTCACGAAAATTAAAAAATATGACAATTTCAAAATATGGTCCAGAATGAACAATGCAGACATTCCTGGCTCTAAAATAACATTTTCTTTGTTCATCAGTCACATCTCCAGGCCCCTCTGATATAACTCTTGCTTTCTATTTTGAATTTTTAGTCAAACAAAAAATAGAAGATTTACTGTTATGCAGACTACTGCAATATTGTAATAATTGTACAAATAATGTCAACCCATTCATGACTGCATATTAGAATGGCTAGTTCGACATTTATTAGACAATGACATTTGTTTACTCTTGAACATCAGCAAAAATCAAACATTTCCCCTACTTTGAGCTCCATTTCCAGGTTCTTTTTATAGTAAAACTAATCAAAATCACCTCTGTTTCTATAATATGTTTTCCATTCTATCAAATGAGACCAAGAAAATGAGAATACAACCATAAATACTATACGAAAATAGACCACAAATTCGGCATTTTAACCCTTTCAGGGTCCAAGGCCCAAATCTGGAGTCACGCACCAGTGTCCAAGAATTTTCAAAAAAAAAATTTGTTATTTTTTCTTATGAAATCGTAGAGAATCTTTTTGTGAAGGTAATAAAACAAAAAGTACGAAATTTGGTGGAAAATTGACGAAATTATGCTCTCGCGAATTTTGATGTGTCAGCGATATTTACGAATTGGCGATTTTGCCGACTTTGACTCCCATTTTAGGCCAATTACATTATTCCAATCAACCAAATTCTTAGCTATTTCACTAGTATTACTTCTATTCTATCGATTGAGCACAAGAAATCGCCAAGTCAACTGTTTCAACTACAAAATAAAGTGATCGGAAATTGTTAATTTGGCCAATTTAACACAAAGTTCAAAATATTCCAATTTCAAAATAGGGTCCAGGATAAACAATGTAGGCATTCCTGGCACTAAACTAACATTTCCTCTGTTCATTAGTCATGTTTTGAGGCTTTACAAATAAATTCCATTTTGATTTTTTATTCACATAATGAATTTTTATTCACACCAAAAAATAGAAGATTTACTGCTATGCAATACTGTAATAATTGTATAAATATCATCACCATATTTGTGAATGTATATTAGACCCACCAGCTGACGTGTATTAGACGTGTGAGGTCGTTTGTTTACTGTTGAATATCGGCAAAAATTTAACATTTCCGCTACTTTGAGCTCAGTTTCAAGCCATTTCCCGTGCTAAAACCAATCAAAATCATCTCTATTTCTGTAATATGGCTTCCATTCTATCAAATGAGACCAAGAAATCGCAAATACAACTATAAAAAACATACGAAAAAACACTGCAAAGTTGCTGTTTTAATCGAAAAATCATGATTTCAGTTTTTTTCTCTCATTATACACAGTGTGCTGCAGGATCTGTTTTATGTGGTGCACACATACCACATAGATGTATTCTCTCATATCTAGGCCCAAATGTACCACTCACAGTTTATCAGAGTGAGCTGAGCTCATGGCGTAGATCTACGGTTTGGACACTCACCATAAAGCCGTAGATCTACGGGACGGACCCTGAAAGGGTTAATTAAAAAAAACGGTCGGAGTTTTTTTTTCTCATTATGCACTGTGTGCTCCAGGATTTTTTTTATATGGTGCACACTGACCACACAGACCCATTCTCTCACATGTGGGCCTGCCAGCTTTGTCCTGCTTGATTTGAAGCCGCTAGAATTTATGAGTATATATACGTCAAAAACGGTACCTCGTAAGACGTATATATATGACTGAAACAGTCAAAGGGTTAAATGTAGTATATTATGTGTGGGTGGGGTGGGCTGACCTAGCTGGTTACCATACCTCCCAGACCTGACTTCCTACAAATAAAACTCAACTCTCACCCTACATTAAGACTACAAATATTTTAAGGTAAATAATGAGTGTACTGTGTGTGTATTTTACCTTTTATTGTTTATAATGCATAGTTTTATTACTAACGTAATATATGTTAGTGTGAACTTGTTACCTGGCATTTATATGCATTTATAAGTGGAAAAAATGACATTCTGCTTACCTGCGATGTCTGCTTTCCGGCAGTAGCCTGGTACCTAACCTGCCTTATAAGTGGGGCCCTACTGTACATACATACATACATACATACATACATACATTACCAGCTTATGATGAACTCTGTGATGTGCTTGAAACACAGTATGTGCTTCACCAGTGTTGTAGTGTGTAAATATATCCCATATTTTCTCATTCACCAGTTCAAATTGTTACTGTTTTTATTAGTGTGTGCTTGAATCTGTCATCCCTTGCTTACACATGTGCACATGTGTTCAGCCCTCTTAGGTGTATTGCAGTAGATTGTAGTTATTTTTGTGTTTGAGCGTGTTTATACTGTAATATGTAGTTGAGACAAAGTATTAACGACATTTTCGGTGTTTTTCCAGTGACACTGGTACTCATTAACCTGTAAATGGTCCAAACGTATATATACGTTTTTTCAACATTTGAAAGTATGTAAAAAAAGTAGATCTTTTTTTTTTTTTTTACATTTGAAAATGTGTAAAAAACCTTTTATCTACTTTTTTTTTTTGTTATATTTGAAAATATGTAAAAAAAACGTAAGATCTACTTTTGGAGCACTACACATGTGAACGTAGATCTGCTTGGACCGTTTACGGGTTAAATAACTACCTCGTTGCACCATTTTGTCAGTATTTCTTTGGGTTGAACCTCTTCACAGGGCTTCAGGGTCTCAATCTCGAAAATGAGATTTTAGTTTTTCCTGACTGTCCGTCATTCCTTCTCTTTTATTGTCCTTGTATGGCTCACTTGTTAGAGTGCTTTGATTTTATTTAAATGCCAAAATTTTAAGATGTTAGCAATGAGCATAATTTCTCATGCAGCATATGTTTAATACTATTGTTTTGTTTTTTCCAGGATGAGGAAGAAGAAATCAAACTGGAAATTAACGTCCTAAAAAAGGTAAGGGAGGAGAGGGAGGCCTTGAAAAAGAAAAGCAAGAGTAGAAATTGTCCTTTTGTAAGTTGTTGGAATTTTTGTGGAAAATTTAACAATGTTTTTGGTTAGCATTAAAAGTAAATGACAGTGGTAATGTTTTTTTTTTTTTAAGTTGTATCTTTACAGGCTAATAGCTGTTATCATATCTCAGCAAATTTCAAAGTCTTTTCCTAAGGGATGTGACCCACAATAGTTAACTACCACACAGGTACTACTGGTACTTCCTGCTAAGGAAAGCAGTGCCAGCAGGTGCAAGATTTGTCCTTGTAATTATCTCATTCATTGTTGACTTAAATATATAGAAGGTCTTTACTTCATGTGCAGGACCCTGAAATGGCACAAAGGTTTGTGACCAAACTAGTTCCAGAGCTACTAAAAATCCACTACAAGAAAAGACTGAACTGAACATGGCTTCATTGCAAGAGTGGACTGTGGGAAATATGATAATGGTGCACGATATATTAGGAAAAATTATGAGCAATGACTTGGATTGAATTATGGATATTGTTTGTGAAACAGGAATAATTTACTTTGAATAGTTTTACTTGTTTCTTGATAATGAGATACATAATATGAAAGTGAATTAATCATGATTGGAGCAAGTATTTTTATAATCAAGTTGACATTGTCAGAGGTTTTTAAGTGTCACAGTTCTTGCGCTTTGTAAATGTAAAAACGAATCGGTCTTTAATTGGAATAATCTCGCAAAATGATTCTTTGGGCTGGTTTTATAAGTTTTTATGTAGAGTAGTGTTATGGCAAACTGTCAGGATAGTATAGTGACTAATGTAGCAATGGATTATGGCCTGTTGAGTCAGGCTCTTTGTGCTAGCAGCATATATTCCAACATTGGCATCATAGCCTGGTATAGAGAACAGTGTCAATGATTGCAGTCCATAACTTGTAACCTTTGTTCTACTTGATACTGGATATAAAATATTGTTGGAATATAGGTAAAAGTTTTTGAGGAATTTGGTTGAGTTTCTGCAGTAAGTATCATATCAGCTTGGCTGTGATGCCTATGCAGACTGTACAGGAAGAACCTGGTTGATCAGAGAGTTCAATAGGAAAATCTGGCTGGCTGGGTTGAGGGAGTTGAACAACTCTTTAAACATATTGAGAGGTATGTCTGTCTAGTTGTGCATGTGGTGCTGTTGCATATGGTACAGATTGGCAAGATAATCTAGTGACCTGTGTGGTACTGTTATTTATGGCACAAGCTGACTGAAATCTAATGACCTGGATTGCACTGAAGTTTAAGGCACACTTTTAATTAATGCCTCAAACTATCAAAGTAGCACTAGCTTTTATAATATTACCTATGACTCATACTGTTACTTATGGTACAGACCATTACATAGTGTTAGGGGGCCTTGTGTTACCATTAATAATGATGTAACCTGTCAGATTAGGATTGTGGCTAGTGTTTCTATTATTTCTGATAGAGATTGTCATAATTATCTACTGATGTGTTGTTTGACACATGTGTTACTGATATTTAGAGTAGAGACTTGCTTTATGGCATAGACTCTGTTATGGTGTATTAGCTTGTATGGTATTGCTGCAGTACAGTATAGTAGTTCATATGCAGTATATTACAGGTATCCCTTTGTGCTGTAGCTATGTTCCAGGCCCTTGGCATCTGTATTAGGTTCAGTTGGGTCATAAACACATAATTATAAATAAGAAACTTCATTGCATTTTGCAAACCATTCTGATTGCATGCAGTGACCAAAAACTGCACATAAAGAATTGCAAATAGAAATGTGATGTCACATAACAATTTTGCATAAAGTTAATTTGCATGACTCACGAAATCGTAATGACACGATTGCAAACAAACCATACCACGGATGGGGATAGAACCCGCTATCAGTCTTTCAAAACTCCAGACCGTCGTGTTAGCCACTGGGCCAGCTAACCACAATAAGATTCATCCAGCTAGGTATATTTCTACACCATAGGAAGGTTAGCATAGGCACCACTGTGACCACAAATGCAAGTTTTTACAGACAAATCTCCAGCTAGCATGGCTGTGACGAACTCTAGCTCAAGTCCCCTCAAAGCCGTCAACATGACTCATGAAATCGTAATGACAATCTTATTGTGGCTAGCTGGCCCAGTGGCTAACGCGATGGTCTGGAGTTTTGAGACTCTCTGATCACGGGTTCTATCCCCGTCCGTGGTATGGTTTGTTTGCAATCGTGTCATTATGATTTCATGAGTCATGTTGACGGCATTGAGGGGACTTGAGCTAGAGTTTGTCACGGCCACGCAAGCTGGAGATTCTTCTGTAAAAACTTGCATTTGTGGTCACAGTGTTGCCTATGCTAACCTTCCTATGGTATAGAAATATACCTAGTTGGATGAATGTTATTGTGGCTAGCTGGCCCAGTGGCTAACGCAATGGTCTGGAATTTTGAGAGAGACTGATCACTGGTTCTATCCCCGTCCGTGATATGGTTTGGTTAATTTGCATAAAGTGATGAGACCTTTTGATTTTAAAGTTCGGTGTCTAGAGTAATATATTCTTTTAAACTTTTCTCGCCTGTTATATTTCAAGTACAGTGGAACCTTGGTTTTCACATGACTTAGTTTTTATGTAAAACTATAGTTTTTTTTCTTCCAACAAGTTGGCCGTTTCCCACCGAGGCAGGGTGACCCAAAAAAGAAAGAAAATCCCCAAAAAGAAAATACTTTCATCATCATTCAACACTTTCACCACACTCACACATTATCACTGCTTTTGCAGAGGTGCTCAGAATACAACAGCTTAGAAGCATATACGTATAAAGATACACAACATATCCCTCCAAACTGCCAATATCCCAAACCCCTCCTTTAAAGTGCAGGCATTGTACTTCCCATTTCCAGGACTCAAGTCCGACTATAAGAAAATAACCGGTTTCCCTCAATCCCTTCACTAAATATTACCCTGCTCACACTCCAACAGATCGTCAGGTCCCAAGTATCATTCGTCTCCATTCACTCCTATTTAACACGCTCATGCACGCTTGCTGGAAGTCCAAGCCCCTCACCCACAAAACCTCCTTTACCCCCTCTTTCCAACCCTTTCGAGGACGACCCCTACCCCTCTTTCCTTCCCCTATAGATTTATATGCTTTCCATGTCATTCTACTTTGATCCATTCTCTCTAAATGACCAAACCACCTCAACAACCCCTCTTCTGCCCTCTGACTAATGCTTTTATTAACTCCTAATTTCCACGCTCCGAATTTTCTGCATAATATTTACACCACACATTGCCCTTAGACAGGACATCTCCACTGCCTCCAACCGTCTCCTCGCTGCTGCATTTACCACCCAAGCTTCACATCCATATAAGAGTGTTGGTACTACTATACTTTCATACATTCCCTTCTTTGCCTCCATAGATAACTTTTTTGACTCCACATATACCTCAACGCACCACTCACCTTTTTTCCCTCATCAATTCTATGATTAACCTCATCCTTCATAAATCCATCCGCCGACATGTCAACTCCCAAGTATCTGAAAACATTCACTTCTTCCATACTCCTCCTCCCCAATTTGATATCCAATTTTTCTTTATCTAAATCATTTGATACCCTCATCACCTTACTCTTTTCTATGTTCACTTTCAACTTTCTACCTTTACACACATTCTCAAACTCATCCACTAACCTTTGCAATTTTTCTTTAGAATCTCCCATAAGCACAGTATCATCAGCAAAAAGTAACTGTGTCAATTCCCATTTTGAATTTGATTCCCCATAATTTAGAACATCTGTGTTGTTCACTATACTAAAAAAAAAAGTACAATTGCCTTTGGAAAAAAGCCAAGTGAAGTATTATGCATGCAAATAATTTTTAATGTTGTGATAAACTGACAAATGAATAATGTGAATATGAACTATTGATGTGAAGAGGCCTGACTGTGATGGTTAATGCTTTGACCTCTTTAAGAATTGAGTAACTTCCAACAAGCAAGAAAGGTTTGAAATACCGACTGTGTTGGTCATTTTAGAAATAGCAAGCTTAAAGTGGTCATTACAGTAAAGAATTGAAGTGGTGCAGTTCAGCCATTATCAGTGTAAGAGTGTCGAGTTCCCAACAAGAGAAAGAATGGATGAACTTGTACCAGGTCTCAGTTTGCGAGAGTTCATTAGTCAACATGGTGACCTCACCATTTACTACCAGTTGCTGACCCTAACAGGGAGTGTATATGCCTGGGTAGGGACAGAGCAGGGCAGTATTTATTTATTTATTTATTTATTTATTTACAATTTGAGCATATATATAGAGGTACAAAAAAATACAGATAAGAGCAGCATGCCAAAGCATGCATAGCATTTCGGGCTGGCTTAAAATTAACTAAGCAATGATGAAATCAGTGATAATACATTATTGTAAACAGATAACTATAAAGCACAAATGAGTATTACAAAGACAGGTCATATGTTTGCATGCATTGTTGTACATTCAGTCGTATGGAGTATTTTGTTAGGTAGTGTATTTAAAAAATAATAAAGTTAGATTGGGTTTTAGGTTTAACATTTATGTGATATAATTGTGAGAAACATTTAAGATATACAATTTATAAGGTTCAGTTATTCAGTATTTATTTGGTTTTGGGTGAGTAAGTGATCTTTGAGAAGAGACTTGAATTTATAAACAGGTAGTGTTTCTTTTATATTTACAGGTAATGAATTCCAGATTTTAGGGCCTTTTATGTGCGTATGGGAGGATTAGTGGCAGCTATGGTGTCACGTGTCGGACCACCTGCTGTCTCTACTCTCTTAGGCCCATCTGGTGCAGGAAGTCACCAAACCTCGCAGTTAGCAGAAAGATTACAGAAACGTGCACAAAAGCATGTGCTACTGAGTATGAATCTATGAAACTATAGTTATTCTCTGTAAAATGTATTTTTTGTTAATATTTTTGGGTGTCTGGAATGGATTAATTGGATTTATATTATTTCTTGTGAGAAATATTAACAAAAAATGCATTTTATAGAAAATAACTAGTTTTACATACATACTAGGGCATACAAAAACGGAGGTTCCACTGTAATTGTTTTATCATTAAAATTTAAGATTAGTCTCAATGAAATACATTGAATTCTTAACTTATATTAAGAGGTTGTTTTAATATTAAAATAGTGAGGCTCCTGTTTTATTTGTGCATCTTATTGCCAAACTTCAAGGTTCCCAGCCCTATCATACTTTAATGTAAGTTATTAGCTCCTAAACTGTTGCACATTTAGACCTTCCCATTTCCCTCTGTGATCTCTTTTTTTTTTTTTTTTTTTTTTTTTTTTTTTTTTTTTTTGTAAGATGTACAGTTGTGTCACTACTACTTTTTCATGAGTCCGTAGTACACAGGCAGAATTTTTTTTTTTTTTTTTTTTTTTGTCTTTACCCATTTTCTTTTATTCATCCATTTAAATATACAGTCATAACTAATTTAGTTCTTGTAGGTTCACCGGTGTTGTCCCGGCCTGGGTCTTCTCCAGATGGTGACCCGGCTGTAATTTACTATGCAGATGTTGACGTTTGTGTAAATCTGCAGATTGTTTTAGAAAGTTGATTTGAAGCTGCTATTAATGTCATTGTTACAGTAACATCAAGTGTTATATTTGTATATCATACCCAGTATCTGAATAGTACTCTTTTGTTAGTTTCGGTTTAAGAAATATGAATCAATTGATTACAAGTACTGTATAGGTAACACCTTTCCGTTGGCAATATGTGAGTAGCCTGTCAGGCTTTCAAATAAACAAATAAATAAATAGGGTGTAATACCTTCTTCCAGTGGTATTGAAGCAATGACTGACACTGTATTTCAAATGCAATCCGTCCAGTCTTAAATGTCATATGAGCTTTTCCATTTAGTGCAAACTGTTCATTTCAGCTTATAACCTCACAAGAGATCATAAGCCTTCCTGTTATCTGCATTTCCTATGTACTCTTTAGAAAAACATGCATAAACATAGAAAGTTGAAAAATACCTTACTAGGATAATAGTGGCAGGTAGATTCTGAAAATATGCTTAAGGAAAGTGAGCATAACAAAACCAACCCTTGTCTTCATTGGTTGGAGAACATTTTTTTTTTTTTTCATGTTCTGTAAATAGTATATAAAAATCACATTTTTTAGTTGGCTGGAGTATAATGTTATTCATTACTATAATAAATATTTCACAAATTTTTATACAATTTTATATACAGTAATTTAAATAACATATTATATAAAGTTTTGTGATGTAATATAACCAAATAATGATAATTTCAGTTTTCCCATCACCGCAATATCGCTACATACTATGGTGCCTTCATCAAGAAATCCCCCCCAGGAAAGGATGATCAGCTGTGGCTGGTGATGGAATACTGCGGGGCAGGCTCTGTCACCGATCTTGTCAAATGTAAGCAGGCTCATTTATGTTGAATTATTCCCCAATGTGAAATAGCTTAATGTATTTTGGTAGGAATACATGTGCATGGCAAAGACAAAGCCCTTACCACCTGTCTGGATAGGAACAAGTTTATTGCATATAGAGAGAGTTGAAGCCCCAAGCATTACTTTAGTGGTGAATGTTAGGTCTGACTCTGTACTTAGACTTGGCTTTTAACGATTAGCTTAAAGCAAGACTTTGAGGCTGGCTGTGCTCTGTGCTGACAGTGACACTTCACTCTACCTGATCATAAGCTTACATTTACCAGGTCATGTCTCAGGGGTTGTCAATCCTAAACATTATCAGTTTATTTATAATACATCTTTCATGTGGGGCCTCTTGACTTGTACTAGAGGTAAACCCCCATATCTGTTTGATTTCACCATTCTCTCCCATATCATTCTATCTCTTCTCTTCCTCTGCTGCTTCATTCTCTCTCGTCTCTTGTTCTATCACTTCTCACCTTCCTTCCTCTGTTGTCTCATTTTCTCTCCCTTGTCTTGCTCTATCCCTTCTCCCTACTTTCTCACATAATTCCATTAGACCGCATAATTTTTTTGAAGGTTATGAAATAGATCCACTAGATATTGTGAAAATTAGCATCATGGCTGCATTAAAGCGCTACAGATCAGTTGAAAAAATGTAAAGTGCCACATTACTTGAAACTAAGCAACGCTGCTCCTAAATTATAAAAAGGATGATAAGTCATGCACCCTCAATTATCACCCCATCAATTTGACATCCGTTGTGGGTAAATTAGCGGCAGCAATAATGAGGTACAGTGGACCCTCGACCAACGATATTAATCCGTTCCTGAGAGCTCATCGTTAGTCGAAATTATCGTTAGTCGAGTTAATTTTCCCCATAAGAAATAATGGAAATCAAATTAATCCGTTCCTGACACCCCAAAGTATTGAAAAAAAAAAATTTTACCACATGAAAAATTAATTTTAAAACACACAAACTGAAGAAGACATGTACAATTACATGACACTTACCTTTATTGAAGATCTTGTGATGATTGATGGGATGGGAGGAGGGAGTGTGTGGATGGTGTTACTGTTTAGAAGGTGAATCCCCTTCCATTAGAACTTGAGGTGTCAAGTTCTTTTCCAGGGTTACTTCCCTTCTTCTTTTAATGCCACTAGGACCAGCTTGAGAGTCACTGGACCTCTGTCGCACAACATATCTGTCCATAGAGCTCTGTACCTCCCGTTCCTTTAAGATTTGTCTAAAATGGGCTATAACATTGTCATTGTAATAGTCACCAGCACGGCTTGCAATAGCTGTGTTAGGGTGATTTTCATCCATGAAGGTTTGCAGTTCAACCCACTTTGCACACATTTCCTTAATCTTTGAAGTAGGCACAATGGATTCCACAACTGGCATAGGCATCTCAGGGTTAGCCCCAAACCCTTCAAAATCTTTCTTAATTTCCATACTAATTCTCACCCTTTTTATCACAGGGTTGGCACCAGAAGCTTTCCTGGGGCCCATGGTGACTTATTTTGCAGGTGCAATCACTAAAAATGCTGTGATAATATGAAATGTTCCAATTGTATGTTTGGATGCGACCGCGGTGGCTGGCTTGTAAACACTGGCACCCACAGGACAAGTGAGGCGCGCTCAGCGTTGGTCGAGTTTTTTAGCGCTAGTCGAGGCAAAATTTTTGCATTAAAATGTATCGCTAGTTGGATTTAACGTTATACGATGCCATCGTTGGTCGAGGGTCCACTGTATATTAAATTTTTTATTAATAATTTGTTGGTTAATCCTTTGAGGGTCGACAGGCCCTCTCAGAGACTTGTTCTCAGGGTCGCCAAAATTTAAAAGAAAAAGAAAAAATATTTTTTCTTATGAAAAGATAGAGAATCTTTTCCCGATCATAATGACACCAAAAGTATGAAATTTGATGGAAAACTTACGGAATTATGCTCTCGTGAAGTTGGCGGTCTTGATGATGTTTACACATCGGCGATTTTGCCCAATTTGAGCCTTATTTTCGGCTAATTTCAGTGTACTAGTCGACAAAAATCATAACTATTTCGCTAGAACTCCATTTTTTCTATCGAATGAGTACAAGAAACCACCCATTTACTGATTTCAACTATCCAATAAAGTGGTCAGAATTTAGCAATTTTGCCAATTTCACACAAATTTCAAAAGATGCCAATTTCCAAATAGGGTCCAGAATAAACAAGAAAGACATTCCTGGCACTAAAATAACATTTCCTCTGTTCATTAGTCGCATCCCCACACCCCTCTTACATTTCTTTTGCTTTCCACTTTGAATTTTTATTCTCACAAAAAATAGAAGATTTACTGCTATGCAGACTACTGTATTAGTGTAGAAATGGTATTAAATAATACCAGCGCACTTGTGAAAGAATATTAGATTCGCCAGTTGACGTGTATTGGATGCGTGGCATGATTTGTTTACTTTTGAACTTTGGCAAAAATCGAACATTTCTGCTACTTTGAGCTCAATTTCAAGGTACTTTTCATTGTAAAACCAATCAAAATCATCTCAATATCTGTAATATGTCTTCCATTCTATAAAATAAGACCAGGAAAACTAGAATACAACCATAAATACCATACAAAAATACAGTGCAAAGTCGCTGTTTTAAACCAAAAACACGGTCAAAGTTTTTTTTTTCTCATTATGCACTGTGTGCTGCAGGATTTTTTTTATACTGCACACACTGACCACATAGACCCATTCTTTCATATGTAGGCCTACCAGCTTTCTCTTGCTAGATTTGAGGGCACTAGAATTTATGCATACTAGTACGTCAAAAACCCTAGCGCGTAAGCCGTACTAGTACGGCCGAAACCCCGAAAGGGTTAAAAAGTAATTTGGTTTTTGCAAAGTCACCACTAATGTAGTGTACTTCATCTTCCATAATGCACTGCCAAATTACTGTTGTACTCTACATACAAGACTACTAAGTAAATTAAAAGCACATGGTGTAGATGACAGTCTTCAGGATTAGATTGGTGATTGGCTTACTGATGGGAAGCAGAGATTAGTTTTAAGTAGTGAAGAATGTCAGTGATGTCTGATTGGGATTGACCCTTGGCCCAGTTTTGTTCTTAATCCTTTCAGGGTCCAGAGGCCAAATTTCAAAGTGCACACCAGGGTCCAAGAATTTTCAAAAAAAATTTTTATTTTTTCTTATGAAATGGTAGAGAATCTTTTTCTGAAGGTAATAAAACAAAAAGTATGAAATTTGATGGAAAATTGACGAAATTATGCTCACAAATTTTGATGTGTCAGCTATATTTACGAATCGGCAATTTTGCCGACTTTGATTCCCATTTAAGGCCAATTACATTATTCCAGTTGACCAAATTCTTAACTATTTCACTAGTACAGTGGACCCCCGCATACCGGACGCATCACATACCGTACAATCCGCATACCGGACGCTTTGATCGCAAAAATTTTGCCTCGCATACCGCCCAAAAACCCGCTCACCGCCCTTCGTTCGAGACGCGTCCAATGTGCGGCCTGAGCCACGCTCACATGTTCCGCCGGTGGCATTGTTTACCAGCCAGCCTCCGCGGTAACATCCAAGCATACAATCGGAACATTTCGTATTATTACAGTGTTTTTTGGTGATTTTTTCTGGAAAATAAGTGACCATGGGCCCCAAGAAGGCTTCTAGTGCCAACCCTACAGCAATAAGGGTGAGAATTACTATGGAGATGAAGAAAAAAATCATTTATAAGTTGAAAGTGGAGTGCGTGTCTCCGAGCTGGCCAGGTTGTATAATAAACCCCAATCAAACCCTCGTACTATTGGTGGTACAGCTGCTGTGCTGCTGTAGCATCATCTGCTGCTGCTGTAGCATCGTTGCTGCTGCTGTAGCATGTCTGCTGCTGCTGTAGCATCGTCTGTGCTGCTGTAGCATCGTCTGCTGCTGCTGTAGCATCGTCTGTGCTGCTGTAGCATCGTTGCTGCTGCTGTAGGCATCGCTTTCTGCTTGTAGCATCGTCTGCTGCTGCTGTTTGCATCGTCTGCTGCTGCTGTAGCATCGTCTGCTGCTGCTGTAGCATCGTTGCTGCTGCTGTAGCATCGTCTGCTGCTGCTGTAGCATCGTCTGCTGCTGCTGTAGCATCTTTCTGTTGCGCTGTAGCATCGTCTGTTGCTGCTGTAGCATCGTCTGTTGTGCTGTACCACCGTCAGCTGCTGCTGCTGCTGCTGTTAGCAACGTTGTTGGTGTGGCTTATTGAGAATACCAAGAAACAATTAACCCCGAGGATTTGCCACCAGGAAAACCCCAAAAAAAGTCGTGTCATCGAAGACTGTCTAACTTATTTCCATTGGGGGTCCTTAATCTTGTCCCCCAGGATGCAACCCACACCAGTCGACTAACACCCAGGTGAAAAAGGAAAAATGCCTGGAACTAGTGCTCAATTGGTGAATTTAAAGCCAGCAAAGGTTGGTTTGAGAGATTTAAAAATTGTAGTGACATACACAGTGTGATAAGGCCTGTTCTGGAGAAAATGCCAAACAGGACCTACAGTACTCGGGGAGGAAAAGGCACCCCCAGGACACAGTGTTCATCAGTCATTGCTGCATCTTCAATAAAGGAAAAGTGTCATTTATTCTTCATTTAGTAGAGTATAATGCACAATATATATTGTGCATGTACTACTCTACTATTGTGCATGTATCCTTCTCTTTGTGTGTAGGAAAATGTATATTTCATGTGGTAAATTTTTTTTTTTCATACTTTTGGGTGTCTTGCACGGATTAATTTGATTTTCATTATTTCTTGTGGGGAAAATTCATTCGCATACCGAACATTTCGCATAACAACCAGCCCTCTTGCACGGATTAAGGTCGCTATGCGGGGGTCGACTGTATTACCTCTATTCTATTGATTGAGCACAAGAAATTGCCAAGTCAACTGCTTCAACTACAAAATAAAGTGATCGGAAATTGGTAATTTGGCCAGTTT